TCAATTCCTTCAGGGCTTTAGCCTTGCTCACTTGATCCCTGGTCACTCGCACAGCTTCTCTGTATTCCTCCCAGGCTATCTGTCTCCGCTTCCACCCTCTGTAGGCTAACCTCTTCATTTTCAGTTGGTCCAGGAGCTCCTTGCTCATCCACGCCGGCCTCCTGGTCTTTTTGCCCGACTTGTTCTTCGTCGGGATGCACCTCTGCTGAAAATAGTAGCTGAATGTTTTGCTGCCAAAGTCCTTCCAAGTCGGCGTTTAAAGTACTGTGAGAACACAGGGAGTGACAAGCTACAAGACAGCTGCTGAGGCAGGCAACATGCAGAAACCACACATGTGCTGTTATACCAGCACAAAGAGCAACTGCTCTGATAAACACCACGTTGTTCAAAGCAGCAGAGACAGAGTAAAGTTGTTCTTCCTGAAGTACTTCATGCTATTAAGAGTGTTGGACTTGAGCAACATCGTCCTTCACAAATATAAAATATAAACCCAAGAGTCTCTTAGAAACCTGTCATCCCATGAGACTAGATACAGCCACTGGAAGTCTAAGCAGAGAACCTGCAACAGAAGATAGTAATTTGTGACTCCCAAAAGAAAGGCTTGTACGTTGATACACTCGCAAACTGATGCAACAAGGAGACCTGGCCTTGTCCTTCTGGATCTTCTGACTCCTTTCAACTCATTTCAGATAGGCGGAGTGCTAGCAGGACCAAGCAGCCGGGTCACAAAGAATGGATTACCCAAACACTGCCCTATCTTCAAACTCCTCGGCAAATAACCTGACTAAAAGATTTAACAGAAGTGCTGCCAAAGAAAGAGCAAGTATTATTCACAGCTCTCATACAGTATCCCCATCATCATCAGCTCAGGAAGTTAAGACACCTTGTTTTTTCACAAGGCATAAGTGTAATGAATACAGTGACATACGCACTACCAACAGATTCTCAGTCTCCATGGCACAAAGACAAGTGGACTGGACCTTGTTGGGTGTTGCTTTGTCTGGAAATACCACAGCAATTCTTCCTTTCGAGGAATGTTAGAATTAATTTACTGCCAACTGTCAAACAGAGAGGAAGAAGAGATCGAAAGCTCAGGATGTTTAACTTACTACACGCAGGAAAGGCGAATCTCCCTGTAAAAGAGGGCTCCTGAGAAGGCAAAAAGATTGCTTTCAAGTCGTTCAGAACACTGGCATCTATCACCGGCCACCGGCATCTATCTTCAGTGACTCAATTTTGTTGCAAACACACAGAGTAACATTTACCTCGTTTGTCTTTTGCCATTAAGAAGCTGCTGTGCAACTGAGGCACATTTGTCTGCATCCTGTGTAACTAGTCTGAGGTGTCGCAGTAGATCATTGTCTGGAAACTTTTTCATCTCTGATTCTTCTATCAAAGCCTTAAAACTGATGAGACCTTTTGGGAAAGACATTAAGTTAACAAAAGCCCCGCCTTGTGATGGATTTTAAATGGTAAGGCTAAGTAACACAACTACAGAAATATATTTAGTATATATAGAAATATTTCAACTTCAGTTATATTTTGTGTCAAAGCGATTTACAATCTTCTCACACAGAGACAGATTAGCATAATTTCTGGGACAATAACAGCTAAAACATTTACTTATAAACATGAGATTATATATGACATCCTTTGACTGTCATGTAAGACAAAAGTTGTTAAGTTTCAGAAACTAAAACCTGAAAAATTAGCCGTTTAAAATTATGTGTTGTAAAAAAAGAGGTAAGATACTTACTTCTTTTACTGTTTATTTTTGCCTCCAGAGCTTCGTTAACGTTGGAAGCCCATTCGTTGTACGATTCCGCACGCGTCTTTAGCGCGTTCATCATTGGATAGAGCTCCTCCAGGGTATAGCGGTACCTACAAGTAGCACAGAATTCAAACTCTTCAGCAAAAACCGGGGGGGAGCAGGAGGGTGGAAGGGAGGGGTGCATTGGTCTATACAACACAAATGATCTGCTATGCACCCAGGGTTATATAATTAAGACATAGAATCACACTAGGTTCCTCCTAAAACAATTTCAACATTGCAATTGAAGCCATCATGGCATTGTCTTAGGACAAGCTACATTCATGTAGGACAAAGATGGAACAAACAACAGGAAAGATGAGAACAGGAAGGAAAGCTAACAAAAGCAAAAAAATATCACTTGGCAAGGACTGGATGTAAGGGCTGATGACTTTCTTGCTAGAAATAAAAAAGTAAACTTATCCAGCAATTTTTGCCATTGTAGAGCAAGAAGAGCCGAATGCTGAAAAGAGTCTTTGTCTTTGAGCACAAAAAAGGGACTTTGTTTTGGGGGCATGTCCTGGTTTTGAATGGCACAGAGTTAGTTTTTCTTTTTAGCAGCTAGAAGAGCTCTGGGTTTTGGATTTAGTCTGGGATTCGTTATGACAAGAATGCTGATAATGCACTGATGTTTATAGTTGACAGTGAGACAACAAGGGCCTTTCAGCTTGCCATGTTCTTGGCAGTGTGCAGGAGCACAACAGGTTTGGGGGGAGCATGGCCAGAACAGAGGGCCTGCAACTGCCCTTAGGATTTCAACTTAGACCTGGGACTGAGGGCCAAAGTGGCCAATGGAGTACTCCACATCATGCAGCATCATGCCCAGTATATAGGGGAGGGCTGACTGGGAAGTTTGGAACTCTCTTTGGAGGGCTGTCTCGGAGTTCTCTCTCTCTCTCTCACTCTCTTCTCAGGCCTCATGCTCATTCAGGATTGCAAGATCAGGACTTACCTGTTTCAGAATCATTTTCTGGGATGGGACAGGCATTGGTCACTGGGTGGTGAGCAACTACACCGTGCATCACTCGTTTGTATACATTATTACAATATTTTATATAAAAACCAATTATTGTATCACTATTACTTGTAACTTTATATTATTTTTATTGAAATGTTCTTATCTTAATCCATGAGTCTCCTTCCCTTTTTCCCTTTAATTCTCTTCCCATTCCCAGGGACGGGGGAAAGTGAGTGAGCAGCTGTGTAGCATTTAGTCGCTGGCTGGGTTAAACCATGACAGGGCACTATATTTGCCCACAACTGAAAGAAACAGAATACCAAGACCAGAACCACTGACGACATGGAGCAGGCCACCAGCTTATCAAACCGCTTACCTACACACACAAGATACATCACCAGAACACAGTATTATTTGCTATCTAAAGCTTACCCCAGTCTATATTTGTAGGTGGGACAGGAGCAGAGATCCTCGACGTGGTACAAGCACACCAATAATCCAGGTTTACAGGGACAAGAAACAGCAGACATGAAACAGGTGGTTTTACACTTTAAGCACTGCCGCTCATCATCAGGAAAGAGCTCAAAAGCCACTCTCGCTGAGTCAGTCACTCCCTGCAAAAGAGTATGTTATTTCAATTCAAAGTCTAACAAAGAGGTGATCACTCCAAGCTAAAATGTCAGAGGCTAAATTTATCGAAGGAATAATGAACTTCAGAAATAAGATATTAAAACTAGATAGACAGAAATCTTGGTTAAGGAAAAATCAGCTCTTCTGACTAAATTACTGAAAGAACAATTATTACTTTAAAAGAGACACTCTGAACACCATTAAAGGGCAGATGCTAAAACAAGAAGCACGATAAATGCTTCTTTACCCCAGGGGTCCTCTGAAATCAACAACACTACTCAGGAAAGTACTCATACCTCTAAGCCATTGACAACACAGTACAAGTCCCAGCATGGTTTCACACCACTCTTTTAACTGTTCCTCCATTCAGTATCATATTATTTCCTACAACTCACCAGTTTATCAACCTTCTCACGTAACCTCTTCTCATCTTCAATCATAACGGCCATGTCTTTCTGAACCGTAGATGCTACCACAACATCAAGAACATCTGCTTTGGAAGCCATTTTACAGATCATCTCATCATGAGAAAACACACAGTAACGGTTTAGCAGACGGTAATGTTCCACACATTGGCGACCCAACGGTAGCTGCATTGAAAAACATTAAGATACTCACTTTTGATGCTACTAACCAAGAACTATCCAAATGAAAGGCCAAGACAAATCCTTCTAGCAACAATATTCAAACTTCTAATGTACAACAAGAGAAATCAAGACCCCGAGTTCTTGTAAACCAGGAGTGCTTCTAACTGTTTCACAGTGGACACTGTGGATGCAAGTTGTTTAGCGAGGTTCATGGGGGGAGCGCACTATCTGAAAGAGACCATAATTAGGGGTAACTCAATCACTAAATCACAGTAGGCTCAGGAAGACCCAAGCTAAAAACACACAGAGGTTGGTGAAGCATCAAAGGGAAGAGTACATACACCTGTCCCATTCCTACCACTCAAGAGATACCCTGTCAAAGGCAGGCTGCAGGGTATGCTGGACCTTCTTTTCAAAGGATACGGCTGTTTTATGTAGGACATGACCTGTGTTGCAGCGTGAGAAACTGCTGCTGACTCCATAAATCACTAAAGTCCCTAAGTAACGCCAGGCAGAGTAAACAATTCATTAGGAACTGGGCAAGTTACTCATAGCTTTATTTTAAGGCTGTCATTAGCCAGGCAGATTGCCATGCTTACAGTGAGGTTACGTGTCAGAGTCCAGAATGAAACTCAGGGAAGAATAAGAGGAAAATCAAAATCAAACCAACCGATATGTGAACATAGTCACAATTCAGAACACTTTCCCTCAATTTTAGTCATCTCCTACTTCCAAGTTATGTTTTTTAAGTTTAGCAACGTTTTTATATGGGCTACATTTACAAATTGCTAAGACCTTTTATGGGGGAAAAAAAATCGGAAGATAAGTAATTTGAAATATCAGTAGCTTTAAAGGATCTTTCTGAGAAATCTGCTAGGAAGGAGAAATGATTACTTGTAACATTGAAGCAACTCTCCTTCATTTGTTTTTATTTTAAAAAGGACAAAAAATTTAATACTATGACCTAACAATTCTAATGTGTGTCTATCTCTGTTGTTTCAATGAGCTGAGTGACACTGGGAATAAAGTACTGGTCTGTAAACCTTCTGTTTAAACACTGAAACCTTCTGTGCCCTTCTCATTAAGGTATTCTTCCCTAAAAACCTACAGCAACTCTGCTATCCAAGAGGATGCAGTCCCATCAGATGCAATTCTTCTTATTCTTCCCCCAAGAGGACTATCAAAGTCTTAAACTGTTCTTAATGTGTGATAAATGTATCATCTGATTTCATCACAGAAGCTGGTAAAAAAGTCCAAGTCAGCTTTGTTTTCAGCTGCAGAAAGCACCTCTCAGAGAATTCCCAGTGCAATAAACAGAAGAAATTCATTCCAGCTCTTGACAAGTTGAACAGAATTTGGGGACACAAAAGGAGTAGATTCTCACAGCACTGGTGATTCTCATACTCTAGGCATGCACAGAATCTTGCCTACCTTCTGCTGTAAAAGATACATCAGCGCTAACGTCTAATTTCAAACCAAACCTCAGGAACCAGAGAAAGCCCACAGCTAGTGAGCTGGTGAAAGATCTTCAGCAAAACATTATGCCACTCACAGGCTCCTGATCTCTGCACTAGATTTGCGCACCAGCAGTAAGTTAGAGCTGTACATCAGCTGGGAACAACTTTGGAACAGCATACTTCATGAAAAACTGAGGTTGGAACATACCCAATCAACTGTGCAGAAGTTCACAGCTTCAGCAAAATTGAAACCCTGATTGAAGCCACTGTGATAAGCTCTTGGAAAGGTGATCACAAACTCTCCAGCACACTGATTGGTTCGATAAACCTATGAGAAAAGACACACAAGCATTAGGTCAAATCGAAACAGAATGGAAGGCTGTGAAGAGAACATGGATTTCCAATTCCTAGTAACTTCTAGGATGGCTTCGGACGGTTTTGAAACGTAAGCCCAAGAATTACAAACAGCATTTGGTAACTCGTCATACCAAACCCTAGAAAGCAAAGGGGTTACCTTCAGCCACCCTGCGCTCTAAGCCATCTGAAGTCAGCCGCCTGTGCCTTTCACGCGTTGCTGGCTGGGCACAGTCACACAGGTAAAGCACGGGCAAGGCTCTCGTCAATGCACAGCTAAAGGGGGGGGAAATTTGGAACCTCCTCAAAAGTTCATGCTGCTGTACATCTAATACTTTAGGTGCAATACAATCAGCATGAAAGCAGGCAGGTCTTCCTGCATCTTTCCTTTTTGGAGTCTCTCAAAGCACAGCAGACATCACAAATTTTGTTACTTTTTTCAGATTTTCCTTTAAGTCCCAAGGTCAGCTAGTCAAAAGCTAATTAAGTTGTAAAGGGACATAATTCCCATGAATAATCTAATATGGAATATAATGGAAACTGATGAAAATGTTTTTCAATACCAAGGAACTTATCCAGGAAAAATAAGAGGATGTAGATGATGATTAAAGGAGGAATGGGGTTTGGCCCCTTGCCATAAACTCTATGCCAAAAAAATTGTCTCTGATTAGACAGACATATGAAGAGCTCCTGCCATGGTTTCAAAGGTTGAGACTAAACTTTCCAACTGAGATACAGAAATAGAAATAGACGAAGGTGGATCTCCAGAGAAGAGTTTGCCAAGTAATTCCAAAAGCAAGGATTCCATTGCCCATCTGTTCAGACTGGCTCATTAGACTAGGCAAGGAAGATACAACACACATGGAAACTACCACAGCGTCTCTGGAATAAAAGTGGCTTCAATTATCAGCTCTGAAGTAGAATTCAGTGCAAATGAAAGAGGGTTGGGTTTGGTGGGGGTAGCACAGGAGTCCAACAACATACAGGCACTCCGTGGGCCATCAAAGTGTTCGGGTTCATTATGGTGACAAGTTGGTGCAAAAGATCTGGCTGAGATTCAAATAGCTCTGGAGCAAGCTTCTTCATTACATCCTCCAGATGTTCAGCTGCATACCCTGGGGCTCCATACCACGTTTTAGGCTCCCCCCTGCAAGATTATTAAAAAAAGTTAAATATAAGCAATTTTATAAATTACATTTTATGTCTTCTGCTTTAACATACACCATGCCAAAAGAAGGGTATATCACTAGGAAGAAATGCAAAGATTAAGTACCTTCCTGAAGCTTCACATTTTACACAGGTCCCTCCTCCAGACCTAAGTTTTCTACTGCCTACATTTCTGAGCACATACTTAAAATATTCTGGGAAAAAAAAAAGGCTGAAGGAGTCCTCTGTGAAGTTCTGATGATTCCAGCACAACTTCAAAACATAAGTTGTTTGCCTTTTACCATGAACACAAACTTCCTCTTGGTTCTAACAAACAAAGCCAGTTCTGTCTTGTGCGTAATTGCCATAAAAGTGACATATACTAAGTAGAAACGAAAAACTTCCCAACTATGCAAAAGACATCAGGCAAAAACTAAAAATCCATATCCAGTGTAGGAACAAAGGACTTTTAGCAACAGCTATAACAATGCAAGCCAGTTGAGAAAATTAAGGTTATGCAGATGTGTTCCTGTAGATATTGTTTCAGGTTTACAGTGAAGCTGGCTCACTGCAGCACGAAGATGAAAATGCTTTCTAATCCCTTACAAAGAACGACATTAGAAAAGGGATTTAGAAAAGAAGATAACAGACAGATCATTTTCTCCCAAGACTCCTGAAGAGCTGGCAGAGTAAAGGTGACCCAATGGTCGTCTTTTTTTCCCCATAAATCATGAAGCAACTGGGAGGATTCCAGAAGAAAAGAGTGAATCCCTCATACCTAGAACCTTATTCCTACATTCAAACAGCACCTCCGTCATGGTGGAGGACAGCTAGTGGGACAGACTGTGGAAGGGCAGTTACAGTGATATCACAAGGAGTAGCACAAGTAGAGCAGATGCTACTCAGTGTTAAATGACTATGCAGCCTTGGTCATACCCTTGAACAACTCTAGGAATTCATGAAGACCAACCACAGATGCAACCAAAAACACTCCCGTATCCTGACTCAATACTGGGTTAGTCAAGAATTTTGCTCCCTGATACATGTTGGTGTCAAGGAATGGATGACCGCAGTTAGCAACTGTGCTCAACTTGGACCAGGATACTGGTACCAGGGGTCTCTGGACTTCAGGAGAACAGATAACGGAGAAGAGATGCAATTCTAATGGATGTGTCAAGGTGTCAGCCTTACAAAGGCAGCGAGCTGCAGAGTGGATGAAGGTAGCAGTTCCTTCTGCAATGCTACCTGACAGCTCCACGTTCCTGCCTTGAGAAATAATGGCATCAGTGACGGTAATTCTTCCTCTGACCAGGACTGACATCTTATGTGTTTATTTGCAAGCATCTTCAGAAGCACATCTTTGGTTTTTCTCCTTTTATCATTTCAAGAACTAACACAGCATGTAGAATCACGCAGGAGAACTATTGAACTCGAGCCTATGAAAAGCCTACTGCTGTAGCCTGGTTGACCTGGGGCTATCTGCTCAAAGCACTGCACCAGGACAGAAGCTCCTTCAAGGCACGTGGCAACACTGAAGAGGGACATGCCTTCCCTAGTATTTCACAAAAATGAGTCCCACCTTCTGAAGGCTTTCCAGAGTTTGAAGTGCTCTCTCTTCAGTGACAGGTCATTAAGATTGACTCCTCTGGCCAAGAACAGTATTAACCTCAACTACACACTGCTCTCGAATAGGTTAAAAACCCCAGACTTAAACCTCCTAGTTGAAGGGAAATACAGAAGAATATCTGCAAATGAAAACACAAGGCATCAAGGGCTTTCATACTGGAGAGGAAATAATTCAATGCAGTAGGGCAACTTTCACATGAGTTTGTGAATATATGTATGTGTGTGTACATATACATGTATGCACTTATGCATCTTTATGGCCTTTGACTGCAAACACCAATGCAATCTGGGACAAATTCTGGAGGACATAGTGCTATTCTAACAATAGCGTGGGAAGGTCTCCTAGAAAAAATGCAGTTTCTACTGCAAACAAAAAAACTCCTCTCCTTCCCACAGTTTTTAGCCTGACTGAAGATCCAGGCAAAATGAAAAGCAACAAATGACAAGGAAGATGATTTTTACAATGTACTCCTGATCACTCATCTACTTAGCCTCACTCAAACATTTGTTTTAATAATGTCAAGCACTAAGAAAGAAAGCAAATTAAGTCACTGACTACTTGGACTGTGCTACAGCAGCAGCTATTTCAAGGAGCAGCAACTGAATAACCACTGACCTACTGAATAGCAGCTGCGATGTGGTTTTACCATTTTACTGGAATGCTTATGCGACCAAGGAAAGG